TTATGTTTCTTCTCTGTGCCACCGTGATCACGTTTTTCTGCTATAATAAGCAATATAAATATATTTTAACTTAACATTTTATTAAAAATACCTTTACAAACCTCTTTTACTTGCTAGCGTACATTTTTGTTTACTTTTACATTTGGCATTTCTCCTCTCTTTCGCAAAAACAATCGATAAAACTAGGATGGACACCGAAAAGTTATCGGTTAAATCTGAGATTATTTTATAATTACAGATTAACAAGGGACGAATTTTATATGGCTAATCTCTTGTTATAATTACAGATTAGGGTGTTAAGCTCGAAAATGAGGTTAATCTACTTATATGTGAACCTAGTATTACTTAACCCTTCTGTAATGTTTGGGTCAAAATTACCCAATTTTCATGAAAAAAAATCTTTAATTACAGAGTTAGGCAATTTTAAATAAGCTGCGGCGTTGTCTATTCGTTAAAAGCGTAATCAGCTATGGCTTTGCAAAAAAATATAAGGGTTTATTATTTTATTTTGTTTCCTAGAAGGCAACATAGTTTTTCCATACACCCACAGTATTTCTGGGTCATTTTGACCAGATTATTACTTAGTATTTAAGGGCAACTTTGAACCGGTAAGAATAGAGCACTTGCCGATAAAGTGTCTGTAAACAAAATATTAACTTAATAAATTTTTTTTCTTAAAATTGACTAATTTTTATTATTGGGTCCTAATGACCCAAAACATTATAGGAAGGGGTAAATTCTAAACACTGCAGAAGGATTAACATTTATGGTAGTCATGCCAGAAATTTCACAATTCTAACAACTGACGCCTAACTAACGATATAAGAAAAATAAGAGAATCGAGTTCTCAGAATCGATTCTCGATCGATTCCGAAAATTTAGAATCGGTTCTCTAAAATCGATTATTTCGAGAAAATCTTCGATTCTAGAGTGAAATCGAAATCGATTTTTCCATCCCTATCTCTAACACGAATACGACCTCAAATAAAGAAAAAAAAGTGTCAAATTCAAACGAAAGAGATTTTGCTATCATGTGAGCTAAAATGGATAATTCAAGCAAAAAAGGCAAGAAATAATCGTAAAAACATTCGTATTATTATAATTAATTGTTTGGTATATTTTACAGTGTTTAAAAAACTTCTAGTGCTCTGTTCGATGTGATGGTAAAAGAGCTGGAGAAAAATCCAGACTTGACAAGAGGCGCTCCAACGTTTGGTGTGAGTAAGAGCCTGGTAGAACTGCAGTGGAATAAATTAGCCAAAAAATTAAACGCACATGGACCTCCACAAAGAACAGATACCGAATAGAAAAAGGTAACTCCTTTTTATAAATAGTAAATTGTATCAAAAATTGAGCTTGTAATGTTTTTCCAGATTTGGGCTGATCTTAAAAGCCGCACAAAGAAGAAAATTGCAGAAAATGCGTCCAACATGCCTGTTCGGAATGCTAGAAATGCACGTCTACTTACTCGGCGTCTGGCAATTCCAATACATTTGTACTGTCTCGAAGCCTCCGAATCCGCTATTCGTCTTCGTCCGAGCGTTGACTACAAGAAATGCTATTGCTTGATACGTTTTTAAATAATTCTATTAAAACATTCCCCCTTATTCTAGAACCCGAATTTTCGTAGTTCGTAATTCGTAGCTACGCTACGAAAACCGAAAATTCCATATGGTGCAACCCTTGCGGAAACATGTGCAGCATTGCCAGCTGTCAGTTGTTTTTCGAAGATAGCTGAATGAAGGAAAACAAAGTGGAAAGGAATTAAAAAAACACTCATGAAGTGCTTATTTACAGAAAACTTGTTGATTTTACATATTTTGAAGGAAACGAGGGATTCTATTGCATTTGCAATTGTAGCAGCGGAGTAAGAGCGCGCTATGGGAATAATTTCACAAAGATATGCGGAGCTGTCGGGCATAGTAACCATGGGCGCATCTATGTCAGCTTATGGTTGAATTGTTGAACCACAAGTCCGAACTCCTCCTATGTCTGAAGATCTGGTTCTCAAACCAGTTAATGCAATAACCAAGCCATTGAAAACATGCACTTTATTAGGTCCACCACCTGTTACACTTGCGTCTGCCTTCGGCCGCGCTTAGGGATTATAACCCTTACTAAGTAGAATTCTCCTTTCCTTCTTGCCGGAGAAGAGGGGCTTCCGCATGTCAAAGGTATACAACATTTCTTCTGCATATCACTCCGGCTACGCCATCCACAGTATTTTTGCGCAGAACCCACGTCGAAATTTGCAAAAAAGTGCATAGTGCAAACCGAATTTATTAATACTAGTGGTCGGAAATTCGAAACATTTATTTTGAATACAATTTTAATCCTTTGGTTACACGTGATGTTAAAGTTTTTGGATTCGGGTTATGCGTTTGGACACAACAACCGAAAATCATTGTACAAATAACTAAACCGGACCCAATTTTCTCGACAAGGGGCAGCAAAGATTCTTTTTTACTAGTTTATATAAAGCAGTGGATAAAAATATACGTACATGCGAAAAGCAAATTTATCTGTTTAAATGAACGCCACTAATATTTCCTGCAAACACACATCGCTTTACATCTTTTATCTCGCCTCCGACACAGAATTGTTTTCGTACAAAATTACGCAAAAAAGCCTACTCGTTCGTTTTTAGGCATGCCATTGTTACGAATTTCGAAAGTTCGAAGATACGATTCGGATTGCAGCATACTATTTCTACGATTCGTAGTAAAATCCGAATACGAAAGTGTTGCAGAATAGGGGTGATAAATTCCTACGATCCGAAGATCTTCTCGGGCGAATAACGTAGGAACGTAAGGATGGACGAAAATTATCATTCGATAAAGACTTCCGAATTCAGACGATTTCTTTTGGACACGAATCGTTCGTCTGGCTGTTCGTTCGAGATAGAGAATCAGGCAGTAATAGTCAAACTACTCATTTACGCCATACTACAAACACAAAAATGTAAATGTGTTAGAATTTTTGCCTAAAGTGCTCAGCAATGTCTTGTAGTATACGTGTATTGTAGTTTCGGTCATTCGAGTTTTGCAGGGTAGTTCATTCAATCAATTTCAGAACTTTCTTTAGGGTGATTTTCGCCTCTCTTTGTTAGCTGCTGGCCCGTAGTGCACCGAGTGTTATATCCCCCCTATTGTACTCAGTTATTCTAGAACCCGAATTTTCGTAATTCGTAATACGTAGCTACGTTACGAAAAACGAAAAATCGACATGCTGCAACCCTTGCGGAAAAATGTGCAGCCTTGCCAGGTATCAGTTGTTTTTCGAACTTAGCTGTATGAAGGAAAACAAAGTGGAAAGGAATTAAAAAACACTTATCATGTGCTTGTTTATAGTAAAATTGATTGATTTTAAATATTTTGAGGAAAATTATGGGTTCAGATGCATTTGCAGTTATAGCAACGGAGCAGGAGCGAGCTATGGCAATGTATTCACAAAGGAATGCGGAGCTGCCGGGCGTAGTAACCATTGGCACATCTATGTCAGCTTCTGGTTGAATTGTTGAACCACAAGCCAGAACTCCTCCTATGCCTGAAGAACTGGTTCCCAATCCAGTTAGTGCAATAATAGCTTCTTCCAAGCCATTGAAAACATGCATTTTGTTAGGTCCACCACCTGTTGTGCTTGCTTCTGCCTTCGGCCGCGCTTAGGGATTATAGCTCTTACTAAGTAGAATTCTCCTTTCTGTGTTGCTGGAGAAGAGGCGCTTCCGCATGTCAAAGGTATACAATATTTCTTGTGCATATCACAGTATTTTCGCGCAGAACCCACATTGAAATTTGCAAAAAAGTGCATAGTGCAATCCGAATTTGTTAATAATTTGAAACATTTTAAATAAAAGTTTAATCCTTTAATTACACGTGCATGTTAAAGTTTTTGGATTCCGGTTATGCGTTTGGACACAACAACCGAAAATCATTGTACAAATAACTAAACCGGGCCCAAGTTTCTCGATATGGGGCAACAAAAGTTCTCTTGCTCGTTTATATGTAGTAGTAGATAAAAATATACGTATATGCGAATGGCAAATTTATCTGTTTAAATAAACACCACTAATATTTCCTGCAAACCCACATCGATTTACATCTTTTATCCCACCTCCGACACAATTTTTTTCGTACAAAATTACGCAAAAAGGCTTACTCGTTCGTTTTTAGGCATGCCATTGTTACGACTTTCGAAAGTTCGACGTTACGATTCGGATTGCAGCATACCATTTCTACGATTTGTAGCTAAATCCGAATACGAAACTGTTGCAGAATAGGGGTGATAAATTCCTAGGATGCACGCTTGCATTGTGTTATCCCCTATGACGAATCGATTTTTGCCGTATGAAATCCGATAGTTAGCGTAGCTGATTTATGGATCGCTTTACTTTAGTCGGATTACAGGAGGTTAGAGGTATGCCCGCATTTTGAGCAAAATAAACTTCAGATATTTCTGTCCCCCTCCTTGCCAGCAGTTTCCAGGGATGTCCCTGTGTCCAGAGAGTCATACAATAGTCAAGGAGCATTTTGATGCCAGCAGGTTGAGAGTTTTCCTGCGTTCTATAGCAACTTCGGACGTTGTTATGTTAGATTTTAGAGATTTCATAGCAGCCTTCTAATAAATTTGTACTTCCAACAATGATTCTATTCTAATGTAACTGCTGTCTTCAAATCCTTGGGTAAATGTTTACATGGTTTAAACATTTACAGCTTATAATGAAAACGACCAAATACGTTAAAAACTATTTTTTATAAAAGCATACGTGTTTTTATTCAATGCGAAAAATGATTTAATCTAATTAGCAGGTCTGTATTTTTTCATAATGGAAAATAGCAAAAAAAACATTTTTTAAAGTAAAATAAATATGAATTGTTAATAAAATTTGCACTTGCTTTTAGCGAATTCACTTATTAAGAGCCGATTTTGTTTTTTGCGAATTCTGTAGCTGTTCTTATGACTTCATCCACATTTTCATATCTCGAGCCAGAGGCTTGGGCAGATTCTGCTTTACCACCTCCTTTTCCACCAATAATTTCGGATAATTGTTGGACCCATTCGTTAGCTTTAAGGCCTTTGTCTACAGCGGACTTTGGAACTGAAGCCAAACAAAATACCTTCTTTGAATCCTCGTCAACGGATAGGAATAACGCAGCGGCATCAGGGCACAAAGAGCGTACTTGCTTCAGCGCACCATCAAGAGCCTTAGTATTGTTAAATGCCTCAAACTGTTTCACCAACAATGTAGCCTGTGGGTTCGCTTCGCAAATCTCTTTTGTCTTTTCGATCACGGTTACCGAAACTGCTGCTTTCATTGTGCGCTCCTTGTCGTCGAGTGTCTTCTTCAATTGCTTAAGTAGATTACGCATTTGGTCTTTTTTTATATACGGAATTATGGCTTGCGACACCTCCTCTGTGAATTCCACTATTTGTTTCACATAGCTTTTGGAGTTTTTGCCATCCTCATCAGCTTCAATTGTGGATTTTAATGCTTGTATTTTCTGGTGAAGTTCATTGTTCTTTTCTAAAGCTTTTACAGCATCGGGACCAGTTAGAGCCACAATACGCCGTATGCCTTTCGCAATTGCTTCTTCACTAGTAATTACAAATTCCATCATATGGCCCGAGCGTTGCAAATGTGTGCCACCACAAAATTCGACTGAAGTTTTCTCTCCAGCACCGCTGTCGGGATTATTTTCAAGCTCTTCTACTGGCACACCAAACGAAATAACACGTACCGGATCTGGGTAAACCTCATCAAAAACTGAGCGAAGTCCACGTATCTTCTTTGCTTTTGCCAATTTGGTTTCTTTTGCGAAAATCGGCATATTTTGATAAACAATATCTCGTGTTAATTGTTCTGCTTTAGCTATTTGTTCAATTGACATAGCGGACTTGCTACTGAAATCAAAACGTAATTTATCTGGCACTACCAAAGATCCTTTTTGGTCAGTCTCTTTGCCAAGTACTTGAAGCAGACTGTGATTTAGGGCATGGGTGGCGGAATGGTTTTTCATGGTTAGCCAACGGCGTTCAATGTTAATTTTAAGTTCAATTTCGTCGCCTACAGCGAATTCTCCATCTGCAACGCCAATATGCAAAATATAACCACCACGATTAAAAACAGCTTCAACAAAAAACTTGTCAACACCGCTATTGGATTTGTTGAAAGAACCTTTGTCATAAATTTGACCACCACTTTCTGCATAGAAATTTGTTTGGTCTAAAATTATGCCTGCCTTACTGCCAGCTTCTATTTTATTGACAAACTGGTTCCCAAATCGCAGAGCAAATATCTTCGCTTTGCATGAACTAAAAATATAAGGCGAATCGAATTTGTCAGATTCGGCCTGATATTTGTATTTGGGCGAATCATTCGTAATAGGTATAGATCTGGATTGTAACTCTGATATGGCGTGAACATCCAAGTGAATTTCCTCCGCTTTCGTTGCGCTCTTGCCCTGAGACATTATGTAGGCAGCCTGCTTTGCTTGCTCATATTCTTCCATATTTATTTTTAAGTTCTTCTCCTCAGCCATAAGTTGGGTAAGATCAACTGGGAATCCATATGTGTCATACAGTTTCCAGGCCAAGTCCCCAGGAATTATATTCCTGTTGCCCAATTTGGCAACTGTGCGATTGAAAAGATCTCGTCCGCGTGATAATGTCTTTAGGAACTGCGCTTCCTCCTCGTTTATTATTTCAATTATTTGCTGAGGACTCTTTTTGACCTCAGGGAATGCATCACCTAGCAAATCCACGACAGTGTGAACTAGGGATGCAAAGAAACCTGGTTTAGCGATTAACTTTTCAGTGGCATATCTAAAATTATAAAGAAAATTAGATATCATTAAAATCTCAGTTCAAAGGCATTGGAATTTATTTTTAAGTCTGTATGTGTGTATTGTAAACAAGATATTTATGTATGTGCTTCCATTAAATTTAAGTTTATCTTTCATACCTAATAATTGAGGGATTCACAAGATGTCTTAGGATTTTCGCTGGGTACAATAAGAACTATTTGTATGTTTTATACAAGTTTAAAAACATTTTAGTGTAGTTACAAATTCTCTAAATGCACGTTTTAGGGATATTGCGTTTTAATCGTATATTGGGGCTGAAATCTGGATTTTTTAGTTGTCTCTCTTTTGTTTGATTAATGTACGTATGTATTTTTTTGAGTTATTTTGAGTTTAACCCCTTTTGTTGAATTTTTACTTGATTTTCTTTAAAGAGTCAATGTAAATCAAGGCATAACAAGGTAGAAGTGATTTCGACATTTCTCTCTTTTGAACTGCGACTGTAATGTCAACTCTTAACCCTATACAATTCAAAATTTTAATTTTTTAATTTCAATTTCCACTGATTCTAAATACATACATACAAAAATAAAATGAAAAGGAATTACGAGCGGTGCGCTCTGTGTGGCAAGAGCCGGGACAACAAACTTGTGCGTTATTTTAAACCTCCTCAAATGCTCCGCGAACACCATGATACAATTTCGTTCCACTAAATTTACCGCTTTAGATCACCATTTACTGCTATAAATTCGACGTTCTGGTTCTTAAAATCCCTTTTCCTTTTTTCATAATGCCATGTGAAAAGAGTCGTGTTTTTATTTTTCATACATAGCTGGATTTATCATACGGAAATTAAGCATTACTAAATATGACGAGAAAATCTCCCACTCATATACATGGATAGACCAAATTTGAAATGGTGGTATGATAAAACCTAAACCAGAATTCCTTGTGGACATAAAGAAACTGCAAGTAATTTTTAATAAATTTAATGGAAAGGAAATTTCGCATTGCAAAAATTTAATAGCTGAATTATTGAAGTTAAGTTCCGATGTAAATTTAGAAGAAAGAATCAAAAATTTTTTTTTTTAAATGTTGAATATACTCTAGAAAGAATTAAGTATTTGAATAAAAAAATAAATGCTCAAAAACATTGGGCTAATAAAAACAAGCAAATTGCCAAAACGGTTTTATAAATAATTGTGTTTTATTTAGTGTGTAATTTTGAGTATGTATGCATTTCCACATTTACATACATTAAACGAAAATACAAAAACTAAAATGAAGCCGATTTTAATGTGATTTTAAATATTTTCATATTTACAAAAACTTTCATTTCATAGATATTGAATTTTATCAAATATGGCGCATGCATAACAAAGGGTTAATTTCTTTGTTTACGTTTTTTTACATTACAGCATGATACAAAAAAGAAGGTAGTTTCAATAAACAACTTTTGACGGATAATAAAATTTTTTGAAGTTCATAAATTGTGAGTATTATCATCGGCCTTGCCACTTTGATAATATTAAAACAATAAATCGGAGTATTTTCCTTCCCATATTTATACCAATCTAATAATATTTCAAATCAGAAGCCATATCAGTGCTTGGTACTTTTTTACTTACGTGGCTCGCACCTTTTTTATTAAAAATATTTAAAATGGAAACTGTTAAAGGAGACTTCATCGTAATTGCTCTTTTCATTTTGTAATAAAAACCACGCTCGCATTATTCTGTTATTTTTTTGTTTCTTATTTTGAATGCAATCTTGCGTTTCGATTCTAAAGAATGTTCTTCCCAAATAAAACCTTTTTATATTTCGGTTCAAATTTACTTTTAAATTTCTCATAAGATTTTGCAAAAACTTAGGCTTTGTGATTAGCGCATCATCATTAAATTTCACAAATTCTTAATTTATGCAAAATACCTGAAGTCGGCCCTCCGATAAACAACTAACAGATGTCGTTTAAAGTACAAAACCGTGTATCAACAAAATGCACAACTGCGTCTGTGAGGTTGAATATATTGTTTTGTAGAGAGTAAAAACACTCATATTTCGAAATGGTTCTCTTTTTTACAAAGAAATCGCATTTCAGGACGAATGGATAAGTCTTGAGCCAAGAGCTTGTGTGAGCAAATCCAATTTTTTGGCAAAAAATGTCAATTACGCGGTTTTGCCGAACGACGATACGCGGTTTTGTACTTTAAGCAACGATATGAAACCTGGTCGTCAACAACCCCATTTTCGAAATCATGTAGCCGGCATAATTTTCTAGTTCATCATATCCCACATCGTTGAATGTACTGATAAAGGCTGCGTTTCTTTATACATTCCGGATAATCCCATTTCACAGCCGGAATAAACAGAATGCGTTTGAAATACACGTTAACATATCGAGCCCTAACCGCCAAAATAACGTAAGCGCCATTTTTTTCAAAATTTTCTTTTCGATGCAGAAATACATCTAGATGCCCGAGAAATATTTCTGCATCAAAAATGGCGGTTAGGGCTCGATATCATCAGGAACGTTCTAAAGAATAAGTAAACAAAAAAGTTTATTCCGAACGTTCAGAATGAATAAAAAAATGCCGCCAAAATCTTCTGGTTAAAAAAAAAAATATTTCTTGTAGTGATCAGGTAGCATGAATTTGATGAAATGTCATAATTTTATTAAAAGTCAAATAGTTAACAACAACAACGAATGTCATTATATGAAACTACCTTCTTTTTTGTATCATGCATTACAGTCAGGTATGAGAGAGCTCGACTGAATTGTCACTTCTACCTTGTTGAATATATATATATAAGGTGGTATTACTAGCTCAGCTGATTTTGTGTATGTGTTTCGCCGCACGGCTCCTGATATCAAATTGAAAAATTTTGTTTGAATTTCTACACACACTCTTACAGATTTTGACAGTTTATGCCGCCAAAGCAAAAACAAAATACATGTAAATTTTTGTTTTTGTACTCCTGCTATCACCTTATATTAATTCGCCTTGATATCCCTTGATGTAAATGTATAGTGAGCAACATTTTCAATTCATTCATTCAGCAGCAAATAGGCCAATGTATTTAAAAAAAAAACACTAAGCACCAGTACACAAATCAGAAAATATCTTTATTATTAGATATTAATAAATTTGAAAAAAAAACACTAAGAAGTCACTAGTACACAAATCAGAAAATATCTTTATTATTAGATAGTGATAAAGCATATCGTCGCTTTGCCAACAAAAACAGTTGTCTTTTTTACAGCCTTATTCTGTATCCCGAACGATAGGCAACACGAACGATTCTTCTGCAGACGACAACATCTCTGATTGCGATTTTATTACTCTATCGGTCGTCTTCGTCTTGATTTTCATATATTACGTTGCATAGTCTCGGTTGCATTTAAACCGGCTAGAATGATACCCCCGGACTAATTTTTGAAGCATTCCTCTGCAGACGAATCGTTCGTGTTGCCTATCGTTCGTGGCTGTTAATATCTTTTTAGGAGAGCAAAAAAACTGATTACTGGTGCCAATAGGCAATATTTTGCAAATGTATTAAAAAAAAAANTTCTGCAGACGACAACATCTCTGATTGCGATTTTATTACTCTATCGGTCGTCTTCGTCTTGATTTTCATATATTACGTTGCATAGTCTCGGTTGCATTTAAACCGGCTAGAATGATACCCCCGGACTAATTTTTGAAGCATTCCTCTGCAGACGAATCGTTCGTGTTGCCTATCGTTCGTGGCTGTTAATATCTTTTTAGGAGAGCAAAAAAACTGATTACTGGTGCCAATAGGCAATATTTTGCAA